CATGGAGACGGAAGGGGGCAAAGGGGGCAACCCTCCCGTGTATCACCCCACCCCGGAGCGGGGGGCGAGCAGCAGCTGAGGCTGAGGCTGGGGGCCCTCGGCCCCACTTAGCATCACAAAGGAGCTTTGTCTGGGGCTTTGTGTGGGGCTGGCAGGAGGGAGGGAGAACGGGGAGGAGGGAGGTGCGGGGGGAGGGGAAGGGTGGTGTGCAACGGAGACACCTCCCCGGGCTGGACCCCCCCCATTCTTTCCTCGGAAGCCCCCAAGAACACACAGCTCAGCAGCTCTTGGCTTTATTTTGGATGGAGGACAGTCATGTTACATGGGCACGGGGGTCCCCAGCACCACTCAGCGTGAGGGGGACACAGGGGAATTGCAGCCCGACTCAGCAGGGTAAGGGGGACACACAGGGAGAGGGGCAGCACCCTGACAGTGTCAGTTCTTTGTGGGAACAGGGGGGACATACGGTGACTCCCCTCCAAGAAAAGACGATGATGAAGGGCACAGCCTGGCAATGAAGGTGAGATGACTTGGGAGGCCCTCAAAGTCCTTGGGGTGCAGGGGGACACCCTCAGACCTCCATGTTCTTCATCTGCTCCTCCAGCACCTGGTCGCGTCCCCCCCCTGCCTTCTTCTTGCCCCCTCCTTCCTGCTGCTTCTTCTGCTTCTTGGAGAGCTCCTGCTCAATGGGTGCCGGCTTGATGAATGGAATCAGCTCCCGCAGGTCTGGGGGGACAAAGGACTACTGTCACCCTCCCTGCTAAGAAGCAGGGGATGGGGAAGGCACAGGGGGATGTTACCTGGAGGCATGAAGTTTTGGAGCTTTTCAGGGATGCGGATGCCCTCAGGGGTCTGGTGGTTCTCCAGGATGGCGCAGATGGTGCGGGTGGTAGCGCACATGGTGGCATTCAGCATGTGCACAAACTCTACCTGTGGAGGGGGACACAGGGGGACACCTGTGACATGGGGAAAGCACAGGAACACAGGAAGAACTCTCCTATGCCCACTAGCCTCACCTTGTCCATCATCTTCTTTGTCTGGCCATAGCGGATGCGCAGGCGCCGGGCCTGGTAGTCAGTGCAGTTGGAACAGGAGACAAGCTCACGGAAGGCGCCAGAGCCAGGGAACCAAGCCTCCAGATCCAGTTTTTTGCTGGCTGCATGGTTCAGGGAGCCTGGAGAGGGAACAGTGCTGAGTGGGGGCTCCCACTGCCATCCTGAATTTTCCTGTCCTGGGGCAGAGTGTGGGGTGAAGCCTCCAAAGTCATTCCAGCAGCTTGGTGCCGATCCACCATGGATTTCTGCTCTGCCATAGTGATGTGGGGTTATGTCTCAGCCATGGAAATGTGGGGTACCCACTTGGCCACAGGGTCAACAAGCCACAAGCTGTTTGGTCATGGGAACATGGGGGTGTGGGAGTCCTGCCCAGACACAGAGATGGGGAACTCCTGCTCACCCACAGGACACTGGGTTCCTGCTGTGCCATGGGGATATGGAGATCCTGCTTACTCACAGGAATGTGGGCGCCTCTCTCAGCTTTGTGGATGTGAGATTCCCACTCAGCTATGGGAACACAGGGCTCTTTCTCAGCCACAAGGACATGGGCTTCACACTTGACTATGGGGAGATAGGATTATGCCATGGGGGTCTGGGATTCCTGCTTGGACACAGGAATGAGGGATTTCTGCTCAACAGTGGGGATGTGGGGTTCTTGCTCTGCCAATGGGATAAAGGGGATAAAGCTCAGCCACAGGGAGCTTTTAAACCAGATCTTTTTCCTGTGAGCATTTCCAGGAGGAGCTGGGACACTCCAACTGTCCCTCTGGAAGAGACAGCAGGGACAATCCATCACAGCAGTGTTCACAGCCATTCCCACAGACCCAGAGCAAGGCTGAGGATTCCACAGAAAGCAAAATATCCCCTTCTCTTCCTCTGTCTCAGGCTGGGGACAGCAATGAGCCAGAGACAAGAAATTGCCATGCAGGAAGCAGGTCAGGGCCCCCCTCAACCCCCCGTGGCACAGGAGCCCCTACCTGAGACGATGTTGACGATATGGTAGGGAATCCCGAGGGACTGGTAGAATTCCTCAGCTGTGGCCATCATCTCCTCAAATATCTCCCAGGATTTGTTGTCATGGGGGGAGGAGTAGACAAACTGCTCAATCTGCAGGAAAAGGAATTCCACAGTGACACCAGGTATAGCTCCAATTCCCACAGGAACCCCACGGTGACACCAGGTACAGCCTGAATTCCTACTGGAACCCCACAGTGACACCGAGCACACCCCAAATTCCCACTGGAAACCTGCAGTGACACTAAGTATAGCCGAAGTTCCCATCAGAACCCCACAGTGACACCAGGTACACTCTGAATTCCCACTGGAACCCCACAGTGGCATGGGGTATACACCCCAACTTCCTGGGGTGTATACCACAGTGACAATGGGTACACCCTGAATTCCTGCTGGGTATGCTGCTGCAGTGGCATCAGATACACCATGAATTTCCACTGGAACATGCTGAATTCCCACTGGAACCCCACAGCAACCCTCAGTACATCCTACACTCCTCCCGGGACCACTCCTTCACCTTCTCAAACTGGTGGACGCGGAAGATGCCGCGGGTGTCCCGGCCATGGGACCCCACCTCCTGGCGGAAGCAGGTGCTGAGCCCCGCGTACTTGAGGGGCAGGTCCTCCGGCCGCAGCCACTCGTCGCGGTGCAGGGCGGCGATCGGCTGCTCGGACGTGGCGATCAGGTACTTCTCATCGATGGAACTGTCCTCCGCCCGCTCACTGCCCTTCCCAATCACCTGCAGGGGACATGAGCCACCGGCCTTCTTCTAGCTGCTCTTGCACCTCCAGAGACCAGCAGGGAGGTTTTCCATCACCAGATGGTTTGGGAATTCATCACAGGGGGAGTTTGTTGGTCGTTCAAAGGGGCTGATGGCAGGGACGAGTCACCTGTATCACCCGTGGAGATGGACTCCAGAGATGAGCCACCTCCTTGTCACGTCATCAACATCACAAGCCACCTCCTTGTCACCTATGTCACCCATGGAGATGGCCCCCAGAGCATGTCACCTCCTTGTCACTGCACTGCCATCATGTGTCACCTGTTCAAATGGATCCCAAAGATGAGCCACCTCATCACCATCATGTGGCACCCATAAACATGGACCCCAGAGATAAGCTACATCCTTGTCACCACACATCACCAATGGAGATGGACAGATGGACTCGGGAGACCAGTCATCTCCTTGTCACTTCGTGGCCATCACCGTGTGTCACCCATGGAGATGGACCCAAGATGAGCCACCTCCTTGTTACTGCAGTGTCACCCATGGAGGTGTTTCCCACAGAGGTGGACCCCCAAGACAAGCCATCTCCCTGTCACATCATCACCATCACAAAGTGGAGATGGATCCCACGGAGAGGGGAAGGAACCACTGCTACCATTGTTGCCACCACCACAAGCTTGCCAGGGCAGAGGGGACCCTGCTGCCTCCCTCTCCACAGTCCCATTGGGGTGCTTGCTTCCATGTCCCAAATCTGGAGTGATCCCTTACCTTGTAAAGCTCCTCGTCAAACTGGCTGAGCTGGGCCACCTCCTGCATCACCTCCTTGCGCATGAAGAAGGGGGTGTACACCGGGGTGTACCCCCGGGCACGGAGGCTCTGCAGCGCATACTGGATCAGCGCCTGCTCCAGAAACACCAGCGGGCCCTGGAAACAAGGGTCACACTGCCTGTCACACGCACACTCTGCTGGGCCACTCCTTGCTCAGAGGGTCCATCATCAACCCCAGGGGAGGAGAACCCAAGGCCCCTGCTCCTCCTCGTTCCTCTCTGAACCCAATCATTCTGGGGTCACAGCTCTCACCTTAAGGAAGTAGCCACGGCTGCCAGCCACCACGGCGCCCTTTTCCCCCTCATAGCCATCCACCATCACCACCAGATCCACATGAGAATACTTCTTCCTGCAGCTGCAGTCACCCCACACCCGCTCCACCTTGTTGTCCACATCCTGCAGGAACCCGGAGAAAAGAGAAGCAGGAGCCTGTCACCTCCTCAGTGCCCTGGAATGCTGTGACACCAGCCCCTGAACCACACTGGGCCCACTTTGGGAGCTCAAACTCCAGCCTGTAGCTTATTGTGCAGCCACTTGGCAGCAAGCCTGGCCCAGTTGTGCTCCCTCTGTGAAAATATTCCCATGGGATGAATGGAGGCAGCAGAGGGAGACCCTGTCCTCACCGCAGTAAGCGCCTTTCCCATGAATTCCCCCAACAATGGTGTGCCCAGTGTTGTCTGAGCTGCTCTTTGTCTGATCCCGGTGGGAAATGCTGGCTTGTCATGCAGATTTCCCTCACCCGCCCACCCAGACAGGCTTGGGGGATCCCCTGCTGGGAGCCCCCTGCTTCCCACTGTGAGCTTTCTAGCCCCTCTGACCCAGCCCCACCTCCCTTCCGGTGTCCCACCTCGTCGTTGCTAATGGGCACAGAGGGGTGGAGGAGGTTCCCAATCTCCCGGAGGCTCTCAAAGCGTTCAGCCTCCAGCCGCAGGCGCTCGGAGTCGCACTCCAGGATGGCCTCATCAATGAGCAGCCGAATTTTCTTTATCTGGGACACCTGGAGACACTGCAGAGAGACCTCCGGATGAGGTGGGGGAGAGAGAAGAACACTGGAAAGAGGGTCCTGTTCATCAAGCACAGGGAATCCTGGGCCCAGCATGGTGAATTCTGGACCCTCCACATATTCTGGAGTGGGTCCCTGGGCTGGACACACTCAAGAACAGCCTGAAAGGATAAAGGGGTGACAAGCTGGAATCTGGAAGGCCTGAGCTGCTCCCATGGCATTGCATCCATTAACCAGAGTGACTATCAAACTGGGATGGAAGCAGGCAGGGAGGGACACACTGAGGACACAGAAGGACTGAGGCTGCTCAAATTCCTAGGGATCAGCCCTTGACTGACACAGGGTGATGCTGGGGAGATCAAGGACACTGAGGAAGAGTCACTTATTGGTGGTGTGGGAATGAGGATCCTCCCAGCTGGGGCAACAGGCAGTCCCCCCTCATTTGGTGGGCACTTTAGGCCACCAATTTGGGCAATTCCAGGCAAAGCTCTGGACAAACTGTAGGCACAGTGGAGGGAGTTGAGGGTCTCACTCACCCCCAGGACATCAGCCGTGAGTTCATCCAGGTTCTGTGCACTCTCTGGTACAGATTCATCCGTCCCTACTGGCTCCTTTTTCTGCAGCAAGAGGAAAAAGGAACCCCAGGAGAGTTAAAATTTCCAGTGGGAAAACATCCCTCAGTGACACAAGGGAGAGACTGGAGGGCTGGGAGAAGGAGAGATGTCACCAGTTGGTGATGTCCCACCATAAGGTGACCCAGGGCACTCGTGCCCCACCTTCATCTTGTCCCCAATGGTTTTGCTGCACAGGTTCTTCAGCTTGTTCAGGTTGTCGGCACGAAACCTGCCTGGAAAGGAAGGCGGGGGCTGTCACCTGGACTGAGAGAAGGGCTGGGGCCCCTATCTGGTACAGAGAGGTGATATGGAGCCCCCATGGGAGCAGCAGGGGGGGTGGCAGTTCCCAGAATATCCACAGGCACCATCCCTGGGGTTTTTGGAAGGACAGAGGTTGATCGTGTGGAGCAGAGCTGCAAGGAGTAGGGATGTCACTGGAAAACACCTGGAGTGACATTGCACTGGGACCTCCATGCCAGGCTGGAAACCCCCATGACGTGCTGGAACCATGCTGGGATGGGACACCTCAACTCTAAGATGAGAACCCTACACTGGGATTCCCCATGCTGGGCTAGGACCCCCACAGTAGCATAGGACCTCCACACTGGGACTCCCATGAGGGGATGAGGTCCCCCACACTGGGGTGAAAGTCCCATGCCCGGCTGGGAACAATGTACTGGAATGGGATCCCCACCCCATGCTAGGATCCCCCACATTGGGCTGTGACCCCCATGCTGGATTGGGAACCCCACCCTGCCACAATGGGAATCCCTCCACCAGGATGGGAGCCTCCACATCAGCATAGGACCTCCATATTTCACTTGGACCCCCCAGTGCTGGGCTAGGACCCCCACACCAGGTTGAGATCCCTCTCACACTGCACTGGGACGCCCATGCCAGGATAACATCCCTCCCTCCACAGGCTCAGAGCCTCCCGTGCTGGGACCTCCCTGTTAGGATGGGACCCCTGCATTGTGCTGGGACCCCACCTTGTGATGAGACACCTCCCTCAGCGGGATGGGATTGCTAAGGACTGAGCAGACCCTGAGATCTGAGGCCACAATGACGAGATTCAGGGGGTGTTGGATGAGGGGAGCATGGATGTTCCCCCTTTGTGAGCCCAGGGCTGGGAAGGGCAGAGCCCACGACCCGGGGCAGCTCAAACTGGGGGCACCTACGCTGAGAACGTGCCACCCCAATCAGCGGGAGGGATCAGTCGCAGGGGATCCAGAGCCAGGGAACACCAACAGGACACAGCACGGCACAGCACGGGCTCCACGCACCGGCGCCGCGGGATTGCATCAGCCAGCACGACCCGCCAGCCTGCCTC